AAACTATACGGATGAATGCTCATGGAGAATGAACTGATTTTCAGGTATCTTAACCTGTAAACTCATTCCAGGACTACCATTCCGTATAAAAGGTGAACTTCAAAGGGTCGTTTGTGAGTGCAAGTGTCCTGGATAATATTCAATCCATAGAGTGGGTCAGTGTATTTTAAACTTCTACTTAAGTTGGTCTGATGATGTCTACTTAAGAAATCCTTTTGTAGAGATCATAAATTCTGTAATGAATAAGAATTCTGATAGGTCGATAATGGAAAATGAAATAACCGTGATTGCAACAGGATTTCAGGCAGCAGTTTCAACTTCCAATATCTTGGATTACCATTTCGTCTGTGCTGATCACCCAGTTATACGATGATTAGCCTGTCAGAAAATATTTGCTTTAAGAAAACTACAATATGACTGAATTCTTCGGTAACGAGCATAATTCATAGTTAGATAAGCATTGTTTAAAGCCAGCCAAGTGTAAATATCAAAATTCAGATAGTCACCCTTTCGAATTTAGGTTCAATGAGCTATTTCTGGATTTTATGATCTCCTAAAAATGAATCGTAAAAGAAGTACTAACTTGTTTTCGTGATACCCTACTTAGTCACATTCGAATCAACACCACCTAACTCAATGTTCGTTCGTAATTAGCATTGCACTTATTTGAAGGTTCTAAGAACAGTTTCAGATGTTACGAATAAGATTTCCGTATTTTGTTAATACGTAAATCCAAGATGTAAACCGATTCTAACGCTTTATAAACCATTTGATTCAAAAAAAATGTCTTAGACTCTTTACTTGACGCGATGAACTGTGGTGTTACTCAGAAATGATTAAGGAAAAAAAAATCTTATATTACGCTGGATAGTGGTTATATTGGGTGAACTCTGATTGTCCTCATTACTGAAATTCAGTTTGACAAATCAGTTAAGATGTGATCACTCCCCCCCTCCCAAGGCCTATGAGTTCTAATGATGTTAATTGGGTATACGACTGGAATCCTGTGGTTCTCCAAGTCGCCAAAGTCTTTAATTGAAAGTGCCTTTAAACCACTGGTTTAACGTTTTTGATATACCCGCAGTTCTAAGCTTTAATCACTAATAACATAGCCTCAAGTTGCACAAAGTAACCAACCTTATGCCAGTCACAGATATGAGTTATCTTCCACCAGGATAATGTTACTTAAATTGAACTGGTGTTTTTAGTTTTGATATACAAAACTAAGTTTCTTAGATTTGATATATCCTTTTCTTCATTTAGGAAGGATAAAGGAATGTTAATTGACGTGTGACTGAATTATCATTACTACACTTTCATTTTGACTTCTTTCATATCACTAATAATGATCTAGTATGACTATCCCTGCTTCCACGAAAAAGTAAATTATTAGTTTAACCTGTTAAGTGGTTTATTAGTCCCAAGATTAACAATCACTATGAATAATACTCAAATATAATAACTATAACTGAATTGAGTTTCTACTGTAATAGGTCATGTCACTAATTTCCACTGGAACATTGAGTAATGTGGATTCAAGTCTTTTTGGAAGAATAGTTTCCCTGAAACAATAAGAGGACTTCTGTTTATCCTCACGAAACCTAAATTCTGAGGAGCTTCCTTTCCTTTACCTCATTCCATCTAACATCTAAAAATCACATAGCTAAGTTAAAAATCTATATTCCAGCTTTTCTTCACATGATTTGTTCAGTGCTAAGAACAAGGCAAAATGACATCAATTACTGTCCATCAGTGAATCAGTGCGAAAATCCTGTTTCACTTAGTTGTTGACTCTTTCTACCGAATTGTTAATAAGGACCGATTTCAGTTGTATATCTTTCAGTAACTGCAACCAAACGATAAGTGCAATTTTTCATTGATTTCATTTATACTCCTGAAAACCTGAATATTTTTTATCAAAATATCTGGGCCTTTATGGTTTGAAAACTGGCATGCAAAAAATAGTCTATCTATATCCATGACCACTGCATAATGAAGAAAGAACGTTAGGCATCGACAGATATTCAGCAAATTACTTTAACTTTTCGTTGAATACTATAGGTTTATAGCAGTTTTTTCCCCCTTCTACTCATGTCTATCAAGTCCTTCTTTTATTAGACAGAGAAAAATAACGGTTTTAACAGAATAGTATGAATCTACTAAGAATGTAGAATATATGTGTCTTACTTTGTTTCCCACCTTCCATTTTCCTTTATAAAATATTTGTCAAGTGTCTATATACACTGATAACTTTTTAATCATTGTGGTTATGATACTTGTGATTTCCCGTTGCTATAAAGGCCCAAACTGCTCAACCTCTATTAAAAGATGGACTCCTATGCGGAGTCCTCAGTACTGCTTGATATTCATAATGTTGTAATGATCTTGGTTACTAGCAGAGGAAGCCGAGAAGTGGACTTCGTACTGGGTTCGAGACCCAGTGGAGACAAATTCATTCACTGGGTTCCGGGTACATCCAGGTGACTAGTCCCAAATAGGACAGAACGAGCATCCTAGATTCCGCTGCTAGTCACTAAGTTCAATACAACTTCTTAATCAGTCAATGTAATGGTAACCATTCGGTTATTTTCCTTTTCACGTTGATGGTTTGTTACCAATTCGTTTCACTTACCTAGACATTTTTTTATAACTTATTATTAAGACAGGAAACTTTGAAATGATTACGATTTAATGTAAACAGTTACGCTTCCCAGAAATCTTGACACCTCTATGAAGGCAGCTGTCTTTTTAGGTGTGAATTTCACAAACTCCAGGCTACTGTGATGAAATGAGTAGGCCCGAAATAACATGGTCTCATCAGTTACTGAGAAACTCTAAGGTTATGATGTTACTGAATTCTCAGTGTCATTTGTAGAATCGAGATCGAGGAACAAAATAAGATTGTGGGCATTCAGTTGAATCTCAACTCTTTCGTGCCAACCCTGAAATTGGTTTCTGCATCAAACATATAATGCATCTTAGAGCTTCAAGTGGTTCACAGATTTAACCGCTGAAAATCGTTCCAAAAAGCTGGGTTTTGTCAACCGTAGCTACCAACATTGCTTAGCTGGACATATAAGAGGAAGTAGTTAACTCTATCCTTTTTCCCTTTCTACTTGTCTGATTAGTTTTAAGACATAGTCTTAAAAAACAAGAGTTTGATATGCTTAGGTATGTCAAATGATTGGGGACATCACGTGCCAGGCACTTGAGTGGAATCCAAAGGGTAAACTATGAGTTGGGCGTCCGAGGCGAGGGTGACATCGAGGAGATCATTTGAGGAAGAAATGAAAGCTTCTGGGCAGTCATAGCGCCAGGTTCAAAAGACTGCAGAGAGGAGAGTGCAATGGAGGTTCTCTACTAGGAACCCAAGGGAAAAATAATGATGATGATAATAACAATAATAATAATCAGTATGTCAAATGACACTAATCCTTTGCTTCTTCAGGGGACAAAAACAACCAGGTTTATGTGGATTAATTCTTCAAAATGTAGACAATTATTAAATGTGCTGGTAATTTTCTTTATTTTCCATGAACAAACGAGGATTACATTTCACTTGAGAAGAACTACTTTGATTCGACACTAATAACCAAGTATACCAAACTTGTTCATTGAATAATTATTCATGTGTATACCCGATCTGTGGGTGTGATACGAATTCACCGATTCTTTATCCAATATACCCATTCAGCTGAATGGAGTAATGTATTAGTGAATTGTTATTGGCTTTTGAGATTATAAGTCAGTCAACAGAATTGTGTAGACCCAGATTTTATGCTTACTGGGACTCACTATGTTTGCTTGCAATCTTGAAGGAAATCATGTTCTTTGGGGGATTTAGATTCGTAACACTCAACACTGGAGCTAGAAAAGATGTTACTAAGTCCTTCGGTGTGCATTAGATAGTCTTGATCAACATAGTTTGACTGACTACACTCTATGTGTGTATAAGACAAAGTGACTACCCCAGGGGACTATGATATCAAACATCATTTCTAGCTAGACCAATTCATTCTAAATGCTGAAAATATTATTCTAATACTATGATAACAATAATGACTAAATCAGTGTACCAGTCCAACGTTATTAACACTAAAATACAATGCATTCTTGATATGTACGCAAGCATCCTGACAATATTTTAGACGATATAGTTTAACAAATTCACCTAAGATTTTTTGTACACCATTTCACTAACTTTTTCCTGTTTTTTGTTGAAATCTAAAATTTACAAAACGAAGTACAACCAGTATGAATATCTCTAAAGTATGATAAACTTACTAGAACCATTTAAACGCGTAATAATAATGTTAAAACACTCAGTGATTTATTTTGACTTTTGTCACATTATCGAAATGATAAGAGATAGTAAAATTACAAATAGTATTTTTATTAGTACTGCCACTCTTGTTGCTTCTGCTTCTAATGATGTAATATTGGTGATTGTTTCATATTTCGAACTTCTACTATGCAAGAAACAGAAGGAAGATTGAGTAGAAGTGATGCAAAGAGAAATCAACTTTTTAAAACCTTCTGAGCTAAATTTTCTTTGTGTGTGTGTATGTGTATGTGTGTTCCTGTGTATTGGCATCAATCAGTCAGTTTGCTTCAAAGCTGTTTATAACAACAGGGATTATTGTATTGCATAATTCTGTGTATCTTTCTAGAAAGAGTAGATATTATCAAGGAAGTAATAAGTGGGATGATCAACTTGACGAAATCAGTGTTGTGAGACTGATTAATTGAAAAACGTTAACCACTCGGGAGAAAGAAAACAAGAGAGAACTTTTAAAAAGTAATCATGATAATAACAGTAGTTGACAATGACAACGATAAAAACAAGGAGAATACAAACAACAATAAAAATCTGCCAGTATTTTCTAGAGAGGCATTAGTCTTATATTTTTTCTTTTACAAGAGGAAGGAACTGGTTTTGAAAAAAGATTAATTTAGGTGTATAATATATCTTTCTGATTCGGCAATATTTAAGTGGTTCATTATACGTACATACATGCACTCATATAAATAAGAAGAAAAAACCGACAGAGAAGAAAGGAGAGAAAAATGAATTCTGATCTTTCTGCGCCAATTCCAATTGGCTGTACCATGATCTATAAAAATAAGGAAATATAACAGTTTGTTAGGTGTATTTCGATCCATTTACAAATTACTTTGTGAGAAGGCAATATAATTTCGTGTTTTTCCTATGTTTTAAATTTGCTCATGTCTCAACCCTGACACGTAAATACATACTTAAAAAAAACAGTTATCCTGGTACTTTTTGTGAACAGAAAATATGAAAGGAAAACTCGAACCTGTGATAGACTACTCCAAACGTCACAGTATTATTCCATAAGCCACTAAGTCACGATAGCTACTATCTGTCATTAATACCAAACTGAAACGACAGGCGATTTTGAGGCACCCGTGAAGGAGCCCATTCTCCAGTAGAGACCGATAATTTCGAGTCAATCAACAACAGGAAATTACAAGCAAATACTATCCATCTTTTTCAGATTTAGTAAGACTTAAATGACAGTGTAATCTTTTTTAATGGTACAGTACGCCTATATTGTTTAAATATAAATTCATAAGTAGCCTAGATGATGAGCTTAAGAACGAGATAAAAGATAATTGGTCTTATGAACACTCTGTATATATCACAAAACAAGAAGAGTTAATGCGAAGATTGGCAATGTAACTCTACAAAAGTGCGATAAATCTTGTACTTGAATATTAGTTATATCCATCGCGAGAGAGATATTAGTAATATAAGTAATAATTAGCTGCTTAGTACAGAACTTATGCCAATGACCTGCTTGAAAATTAAACAAATAAACGGATGGGCTACAACTCATGATGTGATGGTTTGAAGCTGTCAACTAACTCATTGATAGGTTAAAGGTGAATAATTTCACAGCTGATAAACGAAGAACCCTGACCAATTACAATCACAGGGAAAATACTAAACGATTGCAATTACCACAAATAAAGATATATACTGTGGGTAAAGAAATTCCAGTTCGTTTACAATACCAACAAATTAATTAGGTAAATTGAATTCATTTCAACCGAATACTCACAAAGAGGAGCTTAAATCGAAATCACCATTCTAATTCATCAACCGCCAAGGTAGGATTTTAACCTTGTTTCATGTCACTGCGTGGGCAGGGAAAGCCTTATGGAACAATTTTGTCCTTGAGCCGAACAATGAAAATAAGTATCCAACTTCTGACCTTGTGTTTCTATTTTCTGAGAAATTGTGTGAAAATGGTGTTTTTCATCAAATAAAATTGTCTTCCTTGCAGTCACAGGCCCATTTTTCTCTTATGATTTTCGCGGCTCAGAGAAGTATCAGGTCTAGGGAAGAATGGTCGCTATTTGCATCCAGTCCAAGTATCTCACTGCATTAGTAGCTTTCCCGTATCTCGTCCTATTGTCAGTCACTTCCACTCTATCACTTCAACTGCACTTGCTCCATTCATTTTTGCTGTCTCTAAATTCTCACGCAGTATCAGTTAGCTCTCTCACTTTCTGTAGCTACCTTAGTTGTTTTATCTAACAACGTTTCTTGGTTTTCAACCAAGACAACAGTTTTGAATACAACCCACTGTAACCATCTATATTCTCCCGCTTAACTAGTTTACTGGTTACTAGCCGGTCCTGGGCCCGAGTAAAGAGGAAAGGTTAGGCATACGGCTAGCAACCCTACACCGTAAAAGCAATCCAACTGCTACAGAAACTTCAAAGCACAGACAAAATATAATAAATAAAAACAAACTTGTTCCTCTCTGGAATCGGAGAAACGAAATGACGCCGGTTGGTGAAAGCCTTCGGAAAGCCAGTCAACCGATGTGTCTTCTGTCGATGAAAGCAGAAGTAATGATGTGGACATGGAATGTCTGCACTATGTTTGAACCTACCAAGACATCTCAGATTGCAAAGGAGATGAGGAGATGTGGCATGGAAGTGCTAGGAATCTGCGAAAGCAGATAGAATGGGAGTGGACTCCAAACTGTCAACTGGAGAATCAATCATCTACTCCGATATTGTCACTCAGAAGACAACCACCAGCACACTGCTTATTGGATTGGTTATCATGATGCCCTAACAGCATCAAAGGCGCTCACACAGTGGGAACCAATCTCCTCCAGGATCATCACAGCAAGGTTCAACTCAAAAGGAAGGAAGGTCACAATCATACAGTGCTACGCTGCTCACCTACAAATAATGCAGATCAGGAAGAGAAGAAGGAGGAATTCTACAGACAACTCTGATCAACACTAAACAAGACGTCAGTTGGCGACATCAAAATTCATTCTAATGGGTGACATGAATGCCTAACTGAGAGCGGACAACACAAGAAGAGAACTAACCATGGGTAGAGAAGCGCTCGGTGAGGTGATGAACAAGAATGGAGAATTGTTTGCAGAATTCTGTGCATTCAACGATTTGGTGATTCGAGTCAGGCGCTGTGTTCAGGCGTAAGGATATCCACAAAGCGATACGGACTTGATTTTGCCAGACACCATGACACACTAAAAACCAGATCAATTTTGTCTCAATGTGAAGAGAGTGGAGACGCAGCCTACTTGACACAAGATAAAGAAGGGGAGAAGATGTAGGCTCAAACCACTCACTATCTAGTGCAAGAACCTTCGGAATAAAGTTTAAAGCCTTCAAGGAAGTTGGTGATAGAACACAGTTCAAGTTCAACACCCAGAACAGTAACTGAAGGACAAAACTCCAAAGAAAATCTTCACTTCAGCCATCAAGACAAAAAGGGAGATATCGAGCAACATCCCTGAAAAAACCTGTGTGAATGAGCACTGGAACTCTTTGAAAGCTATGTGGAAAGAAACTTACACAACCGTATTAGGAACGAAGAAGAAATAAGATAAGGAATGGATCTCGATGGACACATGGAAGCTGATAGAGTAGGAAGAGGAGGATGGTGAAGCAGAAGATAAACCAGTGCAGTGTAAGGATGCACAACGGGAAGAGGATCTGAGTACAATGTATACAACCATGGACAAAGAAGTGAAGAAGAGTGTGCACAAAGACAAAAGACACTTCTACGACACACTGGCAAGTGAAGCAGAACAGGCTGCTGGTAGGAGAGACAGAGACCTGACAACATTGTTTCAAATAACCAGGTTACTATCTGGGAGGGAAGAGATCAACGCAGATGAAACCAATAAAAGATGAAGAAGGAAATTTAATTACGAAAGAAGAGGAACAAAGGAAACGATAAGTAGACCACTTCAAAAAGCTCTTAAATCGACCACCACTTGCACTTCGTCCAGAAATACCACCAGCAGCCCAGCCATAGAGCTACAAGTGAACACAAATCCTCCGACAAAAGTCGAAGTCCTGAACGCCATAAAAAGCTACTGAAATGCGGGAAAGTAGCAGGAACAGATAGAATCTCGACAGAAGCACTGAGACCAGACGCAGGGACAACAGCGAACATGTTCACACCACTATTGCAGAAGGTCTGGAAGGAAGGAAAGGTACCTGCAGACTGGAAGAAGGGCGACCTCAGTCTTTTCAAGAACGCGAGGAATCACGATGCTGTCCACAATAAGCAAAATATTGAGCAGCATCACCCTGGAGAGACCAAAGGATGCGCTGAATTCAAAACTGTGACCAGAACAGGCTGGATTTAGGGAGTACAAATCATTTGTGGATCAAATTGCAGCGCTACGCATCATGATAGAACAGAGTATAGGATTGCAGTCAACCCTCTACCTCAACTTCATCGACTTCGAAAAGACCCTCGATAGCGTCAAACAAGAAGTAATTTGGAAACTAGTTCAACACTACAGAGTACCACAAACCTTTGTCAGTGTCATTCAACAACTATATGGCGACCCTCCATGCCAAGTGATACTCATTGAAAGCTTCAGTGACGCCTTTGAAGTGAAGACAGGAGTAAGACAAGGCTGTCTTCTATCACCCATGATATTCCTGATTGTGGTCGACTAGTCTGGATCATGCAACAAACAGTGAGGAGCGAGAAGATGGGCATATGCTGGCTGAAACGATGAAAAGACCTCAGGAGAAGATCTGGATTTCGCCGCCGATGATGATTTATGTCCTATTTTTTGTCGAACAAAATCGAAGATCTACAGGTGGAAACTAACAAGTTGACAGAAGAGGCAGCCAAGACGGGACTTCAAGTGAACGTAAAGAAGACGGAGGTGAGATGATATCAAACCAACACCAGCAACAATAACAAGCTCCAATCACCATCAACGGGAGAAACTTAAAGGAACTAGTCTCTTTCACCTACCTAGGCAAGGTAGCATCGTTTCAACTACAGGCATAGGCACAGATGAGCATGTCAAAGGCAGGATCGGAAAAGCAAGGCGGGCGTTCAATAACCTGAGACCAGTGTGGAGATCTTCTGCACTCAGCCTACAATGTGAACAGATCCGGATTTTCAACACTAATTCAGTGAAGTCATTGCTTCTGTCTGGTTCAGAGACTTGGTGGGTTATGAAAAGCATTTTCAACAAACCACAGACATTCATCAAAAACTGCCTACGCTGGCTCGTTACTGAAGATTAGATGGCCAGAAAGGATAAGCAACAAAGAACTATGGCCTGGTAACGAACCAACCAAGAACCTATCGCTCGATAAATATGAAGAAGAAAGTGGAGATGGTTGGATTGGGCATGCACTGAGAGGACCGACTGGGGACATCACGTGCCAGGCCAGTTACTCAAGTGGAACCCAGATGGGAAACGACCAGCTGGGCGTCCGAGGGTGACATGGAGGAGATCGCGTGAAGAAGAAATGAGACCTTGTGGACCGTCGTGGAACCAGGTTCAAACGATTGCAGAGAACAGAGTGCAATGGAGATGTCCTACTGAAGCCCTACATTCCACTAGGAACCTAAGGGACAAATAATAATAAATATGTATCTAAAACTATCTACCTTTCCCTCCTTGATCTTTCTTCAAATTGGTCATCATTCACAAAAACTCTTCACACTATATCTTTTCAAATTGTCACTTCCTTATAGTGAGTGGTTTGTTTAACATGCATTCCGATGCTTTTAATGAAGATTTATTTAAATAATCAATCTTCTTATGTAAGTCTTCGGATAAAAAGAAAACAGATTTTGACAGCTAGGTTTCACTGAATTCTTTCTAATGTGTAAAGGAAGCTTGGTCAAGACAGCTGCTTTACACTGTCTTCTTTATTGTGGTAATCAGTATTACCGTCCAGATCTTGTAAATACGCTCAAAATTCCCTTAAAATATTCACAATTCACCAGCCAAATATTCCCACAAATCCACATGATCTTAAGTATATATATATATATATATATATATATATATATATATATATATATATATATATATATATATATATATATATATATCAGACACTTAACACAACCAATGAATTAACCACTGACCATCAGCTCAGCAATGAAACTAGACTTTCTATTTAAGCAATCATGCTGAGAGTATAGTGATATCAACACATGTCAACAAAAGAAGTAACTATGGGTCTCCAATATTCTCGATGCTTACAGATGTATTTACAGACAGTAAGAAACGAACAATACTAGAAACATCCCATTCCACCTCATAATTATGATGGAGGTATACAGAAGGCACATCTATCGTTTTCAAATTACAACGTATCCATCCAATCTTACTTCCTAAGCATAGACTCGGTTGTACACTTATGAATTATAAAATCGAGACCATGAAATCAAGATTTTTGTTTGCATAACAGTGTTTAAGGCAGGTCATTACACACAGGCAGATACTTAGATTCCATATTATTTCACCCTAAATCTATCACTGTAGACTTGATAAAATGGTTAGTTAATCAAGCTAGGAGTTCAACTATCAATTCATATAATCTGAATAAAAATCTCAAATATATCAAGGAGACGTCACTAATAAACAAATACCCTTCGAAATCTATTGGGAAGTTCATTAAGACTCAAAAAGGGAAGGTTAATATCAGTACTACTAGTAACTGCTAAGTACATCAGAAACAGTTTACATCTCTCTTTTATTTTTGGCATATAAAGAAGGGATATTGGAAAGTCTACACCGGATTCTCGAAATTACTGGGATTAGGACAACATTTAAACTCAATAAGTCACTGATTATTGTGTATCAAAAACAATCTCATGTGAAATTTTGCCTTACCACAGTGCCCAAGCTTTACTTTGACATATTTTCATTGTACCCACTTGTAAATGTTGAAAATTGACAACAGTTAAATAGCCTGGAACTTTTCGAGAAAGCCACGGTACTCAAGTATTACCCTTAAATGAAATCTCTTCTCAACTAATTACGAAATTCATTATTACACCATCAATAGTGAATTATACCAAAACTCATCTCATTGCATCCAAAGTACCATTTAAAGGTACCAATTCTATTTTATTTTCTAGATTTCAGATATAATCCAGGTAGGTACGCAGTGAATGAAAAAGGTTTAGTGTAAATTAGTTTAATGAGATATCAAAGACCTCCGGATAAAGATGTTCAACATTGTCCAACTGTTTCATTTTTGTCGACCTCAGAGGTCATGAAGATCTATTAATCCATGAATGTATTTTAACTACCTGACTAAATGATATTATACTCCAACGGTCTGTAGTGCTGTAAGTCTAAAACCTTGCAGTCACGGGTGCTTCTAGAGAATGCATTGGTTTTCAGTCAATGTGCAAAGGAAATCGACTTGATATGACTAGTTATTGAAAAACTTGAGTTCGTTAACTTAAAATGTAATCTAAGCCAAAGCAATGCCTACAATACTTTTCGAAACGTATGACATATTATTAAAGCACTGGATAACACTTTTGTAAAGAAAATTCTCAACTTAACTCACTTCATCTTATTTTACTAGGTAATTTCGGTTTCAAGGTTTTACTACCTCCTCCGGTTTTGGTTGCTGTTGTATCATTATCACTAGTATTCACATCTGTTGAGCTGGACAGCTTGGTATGCGGTTTCTGTTGAGATAATTGCGTTTGAGATGTTTGTTGAGCCTGGAGCAGATTACCAACAGATGAATGATCATCTGCACTGTTTGTCGACTCTTCAGAGAGTTTAGAAATCTCTTCATCGTGTAAAACTGTTGAATAATTTCCGCGATTGGGACCACCTCCTGCACCATTACTACCAGTGGTACCACCGGTACAACCTACACCTGAATGTCGACTACAATGATGTGAGCATAATCGAACAGTAGGCTTTGATGATTGACATTCACCACAACAACATCCGGAATCTGCTTGCATCCCTAACAAGACGTTACCGCTCAAAACAGCAGAGTTTTGACCATGATGCCGTTTGTGAAATGGCTGCAATGAGAACCTAAGTAAGAAAAATGTTCCTGATGAAAACCTTGTACCATTTACTTAACTTTATTCATTTAAATAACAATACGAGAAACATTTACATGACACATTAGTAAACAGCTAAAAGACATAGTAAATCAAGAGGAAGTAGTCAAGCGCTATTCTTCAAGGCAGTAAATCATGTATCTTGATACTTCTCAGTGAACCATTAAATCTCATTTTTGTTCATGAAAGACAGTAGTATCTATAAGTGGACTCCTCAGCTTATATTTTTGTATGTATGGGTTTAGTGAAATACTTATTCAGCAGAAAGCGACATACCTGTACAACAGACACACTGGAAGAAGGAATCAAATTCTTAACAGAGATACTCATGAAAATTCATATCCACTGAAATTCATCAGTCGTTATAAAAATGTCTCAGCGGTGCGAACTAATCAGTATTCTGTCCCCGAAGTAGGACGTTTACATCACGCTACTGTATAAGAGGGAATCAAACAGCATGATCTTAAGACAAACGACATACTATACAGCCAAGCTTAGTATTGTACAGGAAAAAAACATATGCTTTAAAATTAACGTCATTGCCATACAAATGATTATGTTACATCCCGTTGTGTATTCCAGTTTACATATGTTTACGGTGAGACATACAATGGGAGGAGTAATCAAACTATAAAGTCTAACGTATTGGTGCAAATCCTTTTATGGCTAGAAAGACAATTTCATTCAAATAATCCAATATATGCGGGGAGCAGACGGAGATTGTCATCTATAGGTAAACACATTATAGAAACACATCATAGAACTGACTCCAAAATAGCCTTTAGACCTCTGTATAGGAGCCGTCAAGCCCGCATATTTAGGTTCATTGAAGCCTTAGCTATAAGAAAGGTCAAACACCCTTGTATATTCAAAAACAGTTTGTGCTTACCTCAAACCTTTCTTGGTAATCTTTATCTCATTTTAATGCCAAGGGATGTATTCTTCCTTTTATTACCCCTTATATCGTCCAAATCTTGTATTATCTTTATTTACCTTATCCCTTCCTATTTCCATCCTTCATATAAAATTCCTTGACAAGTAAATGTGCGATCACATTGTTCGAATTGTATTGCATGAATACATCACAATTCCCAGATAACTTCCATCTTCTTATTACATTATTCAGATTTATCAGAGGGACTAATTGTTTCGAACTCATAATCTTGATTTAGCTAAGTTTTGTCCTTTGTTATTCTAACTGACCTTGATAGACTACTTTCATCAATGTATTTGATCTTACAATCATTGCAAGGGATTCGGTAAACCAAATTATTTTGTCTTATTCGACCAATCGAATATTTTAAACAACAGAGTTTCTTACTAAGCCATTTCGTTGGTTTAAATGCCACTCTAATCTCAACCTTATTGGGAATTCTTCGTAATGCTTCTGAGGTGCCTCAATGTATGGTAATGAATTAGGGGCTCTGGATTTTCTTTCTCAACCTTTTCACTATCATTGCCACCATAATTACCATTATTAGTAGAACTGTTATTAATAGCACCTGTTTTAATACTACAACCACTCATATTTTTCTTTCGATTTCTTATGAATTTATCAATAAATCTAGGTCGGTGACTACTGAGATGCAAGGCATCCCTGATTTGCATAATTTCTTGTGGCAGATTTTCTGTACCACTAGTAATCTGTTTGTCATATTACTTAGACATTCAGCTGACCCTACGTAACTGAGATAGGGTGAGGTGATTTGAAGTCTAAGTAACTATTTGAATGGGAAGGTTTACTGCAGATACTAGTCTCAGAACCTCTATCTCGCTTTCTTTCAATCTTGCAGTCCAACATACCTGACTCATCTTCATCACTTTCTAAGTTATAGTCAAATTGGGTTATGTTCATTACTGGACTTAAAAATGTCAAGATCCTATTGATGTGTTTCAACTTCAATACTGTAAATGTACCATCTACATATTGGAACCATATCTTTAGTTTAGAACTAAATCTTTGAAGTGCTATCCGTTCCGAACTATCTACAAATATGCCAGTGACCATGGGAGATATTGGTGATCCCATGGTAACCCCGTCACTTTGTTCATATATTTTATTTTGCAAATCGAAAACTATGGACGCCAGACCGAATCATACTTCTAACATCATAGAGTATTCTCGTACAAAAATGCAGCTTAAACTTGGAAAAGATAATTCCAAATATATATATATATATATATATATAACCAACTAGTGAACATTTGCGTTTACACTTAGTAGAAATTCAACCCTAAAACTAAATAAAAGTATGTTTGATGTGTCATGAACAAAAACATTTAAACAACAGTCAGTACTGAGTCACTAAATAAGTTTGTACTGAATGGTGAAATCTGCCTATAACAAGGAGTAACTTAATATATCATATTATTGTAGTCATCAAAACATCAAGTAGTTGGTATAAGTTGCCCCTTTTTCATCTGCTTAGTGTATTGCTTATCATCTGTTGACTGATTCAAGTGATTAGTTTGTTGTATACCCTATGGAACTTTATTCAAATTTCTCGACAAAATGCATTTATACCAATATCAGATTACTATTGAAACTAGTCTTGTTTACACACATTAGACAGCGAACAACTAAATAAGTTACCTCTTTTCGAACCTTCTTTTGTTCGTCTTTTGGCTTACCTGTCGTTTATGTGTGTTCTATTGGTATGTGTTAGGTAGGATAAGGCATAGAACATTCTGGTCAAACAGAGATAATATCTGTTCATGTCGTCCGATTCAAGTTGGAAAGCATTCGGAACTAATACCGTTGCGTATACACCACAAAATGTCCAATAGTGAACGGAAATTTTGCCAAATGAATAAATTAATAGTCGTATGTTAGACTGCTGTTAGGATTAAAGGACTCCTAAATCTGTCTGGTACATAATTTTGACCATTATAAACAATCGTAAAGCTCATATGCAATGTCTGATAACGATCCGCTTTGAAATTCGATGGATAAGCCTGAAACTGTTATGCAATTTCTTAATTTTTAGGAAAGTAATATAAAGCAATATGTGAGAAGGGTATCAAAATATAACTTGAAGGTAAGTCCAAAAGTGACTTGGACTAACTGGACCTTAAATGATTACCAGACTTAGAAGAAATGTTCATCGACTAACCGTCTACGACTTATTAATCTTTATCGCTATACTTTTAAACTAGTCATGTTCTCAGCATAAGACATACTGTGACACTTCGTTGCAACGACGTATGTTACTTAAAGCATGTCAGTAATATGATTAATAGAGCGAAATAATATATTCTCAAGTCCCTACATTTACCTATCCTATTTGTTGAGGCAAAATGCTGAACAAAATTTAGACAGCACAAGTTACTTTAGAGAAATGATTTATTCAGAATGTTCACTACTTTAAAATCTCTCGAAATACTGCTGACCAACTTTTCATTCTCTTACTGTAGGAGCTAAAAAGGAATTTATCGAAAAATGTATTCTTTCTCATTTAAGCGTTTTTTGAATTATGATAGGAATTTTTAATCAGCCAGAATAATCCGCTAAGTGAGATCGAAGAAAACCTATATTCTATTTCTTTAACAATACACAATACAATGAAACCAAAAGAACAACATATCATTACTGAAAACCCAAAGGAACATAATCAGATAAATAGATCATTATATGCGGCGTTCTTGAACGCCTAGTGATTAGTAAAATGTAGGTCCCCTTTGTTGGTATTCCATTCGTTACCATTTCAATTACATAAAATCATTTAACTTTGCACATATAAGTCTGTTTTGCAGTAGTAAATTAAATTACTCTTTAGCTTCCAGTCATGGAAGCTAATTTTGCTATCCTCATTTTGTCACACGCCTTCGCTTTGATTTATGGTTTTAGGTTACTGTATGAGCGATAAATCAGCAAGGTTGAGGTCATAAAGTATGTTCAAAGATAGACTAGACTCACATAGGTAAACCACTAAACCTTTCAAGGTTGAGAAGTTGTTCGTCAAAATTCAGAGAAGCGAAACTGGTGGTATATTTGAGCGCAGATCTTATCAAATTTCTAATTCGCACTTAGAATTTTTAAGAACCTTGAAGATTGAAGGTATGGATAATTATAATAAGGATCCAAATTTCGCCCACTTATGCATGACAAATACAAGGAATGATAAATACCCTGAACAAAAGGTAGAGATTTGGTGAAGTTGAATCCTCCAACCTACTACAACCAGCATCTTGCGAACTGTTTTTAACCTCACAAAAGTCAATATGAAGTGACATCACTTAGTCTAGCAGCCAAATCAAAAAGTTGATAAGTGACTTGAGATCAAAATGTTGAATATTTTTCACTGACAAGTCAGATTCGTAAATGAAGTTTAAAAGGAGATCAGTAACAATACAAATAAGGTTATACTGATATCCCTGAAAGTAACAATGAATAACTTAAGTTTTACATCGTCTAAGAAGTAACATTTTTTGAAGAACCTAGATGTACTTGGTTGATGAGCATATACATAGAAAAGAACTGCACTGACAGCCCCCAACTACAAACCAGAGGGAACAAACCCAGAACTTCACATATACAAAATATGTAGGAACGTTCTCACTATTATTGATTTAACATTTTCGCTTCACTTTAAAAAACCAGTACTCATTCAGTATAAAACAAGTTAATGTAGACACAGAACTTCATCTTAGAGATATATCTTTTATATAAATTGTGCATCCAATATTAAGAAAACCTACCGACGTTGTTTTCTTCCTCCTCTACGTTTACTAATATGAGGATTATCCTTCCTCATCGCTTTGGTTTTGTATAGTTCTATTTGTGTGTATAGTCGTTTAAGTTCACGCTGAAAAAATAGCCATATACAAATGACCAACAAACTTAAAGTGGAAAAAAGGTTCAAACTTTCAATGAGAATGAAGTATATCCATAACATAGCGAATATTTGAAGAGAGTTAGGACTGTTAATTAAATAAACGTGGCGCAAACTGTCATTTTATCTTTTCAAACTTATTTCAAAAGTTTCTAAAGTAAAGAAATTAATTATTCACTACTGGTATTTTCTTATCTTAGTGTTGGCAGGCAGTGGAATTCAGGACTCATATTTCGTCCTCTTCGAGACTCGTCAGTTAGACATATCTGTGGTGTTCCAGCTGGCACTCTATTCGGCATCTAACACTTCAAAAGTTGCAGAATTATGTACAAGATAACTAAGTCAAAACTACTTCTTGTATCATTTGTTATCGGTTGATACTTTGTAATTATCAACTAACTGTTTTACTGGACTGAAACGATCTCTGTCTTTTGGTATATGGACTACAACAGCATATACCTCGATGTCACTACAAGTTTCATTTTGATGGGTGCCGGTTCAAGTCTCAGAGGAATTCTATCACTCCATGGGATGCAGGTGCATCCAGTGGAACAAAACGCTCGTTTTGGATTCCACTGCTAGACACCAGCAAGTGAATAACATAGAATGAAGCTTAACGTAGTACTAAGGCATACATTCAAAGAGCCCACATTCCAACAAAGACCAATTAGTTCAATCCGGAATAATAAACCACGAAAAATGAAAATATCAACAAATAACTAATGATTACTAGCCTGCTAATCTGAATATCCTTAGCTGTAAGAAAAAAGAGACAGACAGTTTATCAGGTAACGATGGACTAGTAAAGCACTATTTAACATATCTAAATTATGCATATGAAGTTATATAAACAATCTGGGGGATCTATGTCTATGTGGTTTTAATATTAGACCCTTGAAGAAGCACTACTTAATTTCCGGTCTACTTCACTTTAAAGCATATGACCTTGTACAATCGCCACCACATAGTTACCGAAGAACACGTCTTCCCTATAGTTATCATATGTTTTATTCGTTATTAAGTACATTCACGACACTTTTTCAAAGTACGGTAAACTACTTAAGACTTTACTCAGTGATGTTTAATGTGACTAGTTTTTAGATGCCAAAAGTCAGTTGGCAGTAAGTTTTGAACCTGTTTCGTACTTGCAAGCACTCACCATAAATGTGTATCTACAATAATGAGGAATGTTTTTAATGATTGAGTCTCGATATTCCAAACCGCTTCACCCATATTCCATTCTCCGAAAAAGACAACAGTTTCTCATGACCCTATATAAATTTTATTGAAAAATGCTAGCAAGCACACAGCCTTAGTCCTGAGCTTCCTGCCGATTAACTTCTAACACGTAAGACGAAAATACAGTCCATCGCAGTGTCAAATCACTTAGACTGATTGACAGACTTTGGTCAGTGTCGAGCATTGAGATGTAGGCAGCTGTAACGGTTATTTATCGGTAACTAATTAAAGTGACTAGTAATTTCAAAACAATTTCTGTGTTGAATCACAGAATTCAACTCATTAATCCACTGCTTAAATTGTCTATCACTTAATTCGTGTAAATAAGTGTTGAAATAATCTTATCGTACAGGAAATTCAATCTGGTGTTTTGGTACTATTAACTTTATGCCTCTAAAAAGTAGCTTCCATAAAGTAGCACAACCTCGAAAACTTTTCTTTTAACTCCAATGAAAATATTTCAAATCCAAATAATCTTTCTGCAAGTTTTAAAAAAAAAGATCAGTTAGGTATGCTTTCATCCCAGTGAGTGATATTGTTCCCCTAAGAATCGGATCCAGGTTCATCTGCTTCAAAATATGACGTTCTGATGTCACAATGGCACATAGATAGATACAATTATAGTGTGTAATCCAGCCAGAAATAACCTGTCCCCTCTGTAGAATAATGAGAACATCATATTTCTCTCAAGTTTGGAAATCAGAAAATCACTCCCCTGACGTTAAATATTCTCATGATGAAACTGTTTATGACATCATAGTCTCATTCTTTGTTGTCTACGTGCTGACAAAAAGTATTAGGCGTTTGTATGATTTTCTAATTAGGTAAGATCAACAATTAATTTCCTTCACATAAATCCATACTCCATTTCATCATATTTTAAACTTATCGGTAGAAAATATGTGGATCCAAATAACTTATGGTGTTAGTCATCGAGGTTTTATTCATAACAACAATAAATCACTCACCTAAGAAAAGTATTTGACAAACAAAGGCTTATTCCTGTATGAAAATCACGTCCTAATCGACGAACCTTTTATAACCCTTCCGAAAAAAGGTAATGAAACATTTTTCTATAATAAATGAACTAACCCTTATTACTTCTGGATCCATATCGGCTAAACTGACATCAGCAATGTCTAGATCACCATTTGAGACCAAATTCAATTTTCCAGTAGTTGCTAAATGAGGATCAGCAGAGTAAGCAGTTCCTGGGGAGCCACGTGAACGCGTGGTATTGTACAATGTTTTCGATGAACGGCATAAAAATGTAACCTGTACAGAAGCAAGAAACAAATTTTAATAAAGCCAATTAAAATAGAAATAAAAAATTCATAAGTAAGGAATGATATTTTTCGCTTGAAAAACATAAAATAACCATGACCGTTAATTCATAATCTAGAGCACCAATTCGGTAACTCGTAGGTCCGTGGTTCGAATCCTGCTGCAGATCAGATTTTCATTTCACCTTCAGTCATCACCCAGTATCAATATAAGTCGTCTAAACCACGGCTAACTTGAACGTTCAAACCGATAATTCATAATCTTTCAAGATTTCTCACTCTTGATACGGTATTGATATATATGAGAATAACAAATTTGAGTTCTAATTATGAAACTCCATTAAGGTTATCTATGGAAATAATAAAATCACACTTTCATTCACAACATGTTGAACACTATAAATGGGCATGAATATTCACTAATCGACTTTCTTACATAAGTCTCAACTAATTGTGTTAACTAATGTTCCACACTACAGAAACTGATCTGTAAGACGTTTTGCTGTTTACTAAATTTAAACGAGTCACTCAGAAGAAATATATTGCAAATTGATATCACTTTGTAGTTTGCCTACAACCGCAAGACAACTAATTTGGCTTGCATATATAAATCAGTTACGGTAAGAGGTGATGCTTGGTATTGAAATGAAAACCATCGTCAAATCAATCTTTTTTCATGGCTTTACCAATAACCAATACGGTACTTCACTGTAATTCATCTCAAATTGGATTAGGGCAATATTAGGCGTGGTTAGGCAACTAGTGTGGTGATAGTGGATGAACAACTACGTATCATGGATTCATATGACAACCTGGTGAAACCCTCAGTGGCTTAAATCAAACTAAACCTGGTATGAAGTTGGCCTTTGGAGCGCCGGACAGATAATCTAGAGGTCACTGATTTCAATTCCACTGTGATGCGTGCTTTTATTTCACCTTCACTTATCAGCCCCGATCGTAAATTCCAGTTTGCCGAATTGCAGTTATCGCTGAAAACCTTATGACTAAAATATTTAGTGAATTACATTGTTAGGGGTTAAATATTAACGGATATTATAGTAACCAGCCGTTATAATAGAACTAGGAGGTCAAAGTCACAATCATTATTCATAAATGTAATTTGAGTGTATGTGGCCACTTTGAAGTGCTTTCTTTGCCCTTTATAATTCTGAATTAAAGTTATGTGAAATGATGGAAAGAACAGTCGTTGGCATTGACTTTGCCACAACATACCAATAATTCCTTGGTTTTTAACGTTCATTCAACTAATGTCAATCCATGATGAATACCAACTTGAAGTCAGTAAATCCCCAAAAACCTCCAAAGCAAACTATTCTAGTGCTCATTAGTGACTAGCTTCAAGAGGTGATTCACTAATTTTCAGTCATGACTGGTGAAACATGAGGAAAGGTACTCAGTGGCGGCATTGGATGGAGTTTGAGCTATATCGTGAACTGACAGAAATGGGAAATATAGACCAATAGAGGTCGACCCAGTGGCTCAATGGTATGTGCTGGTCACGGAACCCGAAGGTTGTAGGTTCCACCCCTGGTAGCATCATACGTACTCAGTGCTAAGGAGTTCCATACTGGGACGACAGAGCTGTCTAGTGGTCCCAGGTTTCTAGTGTTCTTCCAACTAATGTCGGTCCATGACAAACACCAACCTGCACTCCCTTGGCAGCAATGTGTAGTGCTTGATTTGCATTCATGTTAGGTACATATAAGTTAGTCGCATAATTTAATGATCAATGGTGGCATGTCTCTTCTGACAACAATGTATCATTCTGTTAGTCCTACTTATATAATTGTAACCATTATTGTAGTCAAACTTGCAAATGCAATGCTATACAGTTCATATGTAATTCATACCCTTTAATATATAAAATACATTTTCATAAATACAAACGTGACATGTACTCGATTGAATGTTATTCACTTATATCTGCCACTAGAAGAGTCTCTTCAAAAAGTGTATGTTTCCTAAGGGTTGTTGAATCATACGATAGCACTAAATACAGTATATTACAGGAGGGATAGCACAATCCACTGTCTACAACACAAAACTTATTCTTAAGCACCAAACTGGATACTCTCATCCAAAAAAAAAATCTCAGTGATCTTAACGCTCCTCATATTTTTGCAACTCAGTTGCTGCAACATTTATGGTTGCACTGAGTGGATCCGGTTAAGAAGTCGGTTCTACTTCAGTTATATTTGAACATCATCACTATGGTGCATACCGAAAACTGTACACGACTAGTGAGTTGTGTACTGCAGGTAAGAGTTCCACATATCTTATTTCTATTAAAAACTTTATTTTTCTTGAGTCAAACTTCAATCCAGATGTCAAAGTGTCAGAAAGAAAATAAAATGGGTCTCGCATCTCAGTTGGCGAAGCATCAACCCGCAAACCTGGAGGTCGTTGTCTTCAATTCTGCCACAGCCTAAATTTCTATTTCATCTTCCATCATAACCCAGTATCAATAACACCAGTCTATCAAACCATGGGTATCTTAGATAGTCCAAATAATCACCAAGTTTATTTGACTTAAATCCAGTTCAAATGAAATTTTTCAAATTATCAAATTGCTTTTAACATTCGACTAGCCTAAAAAATTACCTTTGGTACAAAAATTAACAATAGATTAACTGTTATTGTAATATGCGATCGAGCGAAATACAACAGGAATATGTAGTCTGGATGAACGGTGTACCAGATGAAATGCCTAAAAGTTAAAAAAGAAGAATTCGATTGGTTAAACAGATTTGTTGACTTCAGCTAAAAGTTGACATTTACTATAATAGTGGGCAAGTTGAAGAAATATATGATATCACTGGTTTATGCTAGATAATTGCACAAAGTCTGCAAGAAACTCTGCTTGACTTTGATTTCGTACTTGTTGTATCTATAACCTCGAACAATTGTTGTCTACTCAGACATTTACACCCGGGTCACCGAATGTTACAGTCTACCTTATATGGCATCCCTAAACCATCAGTGAATGACTTCAGATGATGAAACTTCGTGATTATCAGAATTCACGAGGCTTGTAAGTGATTACTTTCTGTCCATAAACTACTGCCTGTGGAATAACTTAGCAGCATACAAAAGTGAATAAAATCAGAATGGATAAAGAGCCATAAATATCTCTCCCGACAGCATAAAACTATTGAAGTCATCAGTTCATGCAAACCAACGATAACTACTCAAAGTTAAACTTACTAAGAACCAGTAGAAAACAACCTTTTGCTAATTTCTGGCTTTCACTAGTACATGAAAAGATTCACACATTAGTTAGACAACAACTTCCAAAGAAAACAGTGTCACTTCTGTCGTTCTTGTTCTTGCTGAAACAACTTATCTCAGACTTTATACTAAGGTCTCAGCAATGAACATAGCTCAATACAAAAGTTAAAAGTCGGCATCTCAAAAGAAGAAGGTGTATTCCAAGCTTAACAGAAGGCGGGAATATTATTCAAGTGTAAATTATTAGTCCACGTGAATTTGTCAAATGATAAAAACCAACAATATGTAAGACAGGAATGTCTAATTCATATCAACATCTTTCATCCAAAAATACACTTCCTCAGTCTCTTCATGAGTTATGTTTGTGGTTTCTCTGTGTGTCATGATACTTTAATGTTGAATCTTTGCAAGTTTTTATAGAAACAAATCTTTATGTATTTGAAAAGAAACACTGTATTCACTCTGGTTAAAATAAATGCCTACGAAAATCTCACTCCACAGAAAGGATGATTCAGATGTATGCAGCTCGACTACGACATTCGGTTATGGCGTTTTCATCTTATGCTAAACATTTGAGGACGTCGATTGGGATTCCTCAGATATCCATATATTGTTTGTCCTGAGTAATATTAACCTTGTTTCCCCTTTTATGTTTTTAGTTTTATACTACTTACTATTATTCAGTAGTATAACATATCTTCATTAATGCTACTTCATCCTCAACTTGACTGTTCATCATCTTACATTCTGGAAATTAGTACCTTTCTGGCTTCATCATAGTTTTGAGATGCATTTTACTGTTCTCTCATATTTTATTTTGCCCTGAACATCTGTCTATATCGTTTCTTTACATCATCGTGAGAACATACGTCTTTTATGTTCTCTTCTGGTTCACTTCACACACAACCTTGTTGTTCTTAATGTTGACTCTCTAAGTTACTTTGGTAGCGATATACACACAGATATCTCACGATTCGAGGTTTGTTATTTATAAGTCACCGTTGTTTGCTCGTACAAAACCGTATTTCACACAAATCCTGTGTTTAAGATTTTACGCGTATCTCCAGCACTGGGTTTATTGTTGGGGATTGGCTTTGGTTTCAAATTTCTTGGAAAAAAATTCACTATATATATATCCCTTAACAAGGACCACTAGATAAAATAAAATGCGGACACTTCTGTTGATTCTTCGTGAACCAGTTACCCCAGTAGTTGATTGGTTTTATGCTAGTTTCGGTAATTTATGTCTCTAACCAATCCACGCATGCCTTTGATAAAGTCTGTTCATGAACAGCGAAATGGTTCAACGTTTACTTTATTCTTTCCATTCACATCACCCAGTGTAACATACTGGATGGGGTTCTCCTCACACATGATTTTGAAAAGGTTGTACGCAAACCTCCCTTTACTAAATTGATCACCTGCCAAAGAATTGTACGAAATTGAAATGAATTCTCACTGATCGAAATATAGTTTAACAATTCTGTGATGTTCCACTGGAATAGAGCTAATAAATCCATGAAACCGCACTCTTAAGATCTAACATTTTAATTTTTCCCTTTAGATCACATTTTTTTTCAAAGCCAGTTGACTTTGTATTCATATTTTTCTACTCAGTTCAGTGATCGAGGATTCGGGACAACACAGAGTTAGTTATATTGGTTTAACACCTGCTGAAAACTAAAGGGCTTCATTCAACTTTCTAGTCTTCCTGAAACTAACAAATGTTTAGCGGTTAGCATAACATCAGTAAGTAATGCGTAACAGCTCTAGATGCAACAACTAATTCCAGTTTATGAGGAAAATTTTCAACATATTTTGTATGGCACAATAAAATGAAGCTGCTTTTGCGCTAAATGAAGTAGTTACATAGTGCATCTAAAGAAAATAAATATTTTCCTCTTGCTGGAAAATGATGTTACTTTTGGTGACTTTTAACTTCAGTTTGAGCACCCAAAAAAATGCATGCATTAAAACAGAGTGAAGGGAGGAAGGTTGGAATTTGAGACAAGTATTATTAGTGATACGATTTTACTTATTTTGAAAAACAGTTTTTTATATAAGACTTATTGGATAGTACTGTTGTATAGCCCAGCTCAAGAGCTTTGTATTGACTTCTTACATATTTTTCTACGACTTAGGGACCCCAAACAACTGACTTTTAGATATTTCAGGTTAATACTCATCATGGACTGGCATCAGCCGGAGAAACGTTTGGAAACCTAGGGGTATTGGATTGCTTTTCCGTTCAAGTAGGGAACTCCTCAGCAGTGCGCACCACTGACTGTACCAGGACCTTCAGGTCCTGTGACTGAAGCATTACCATGAGACACAGGATCGATACCCAATGGTTCACACTTCTTTCTGTCAGTTCAGACTGGTGAGGTCAACCAAATCGAATGTGAGGACAGTTACTCAGTAACATCGTCTAATGGAGGGTGCGCTATATCGTAAACTGACAGAAAAAGGAAACGTGGGTCATTGAATGTCGACCCAGTGGTTCATAGTAATGTTCTAACCAGTGAACCTGAAAGTCGTGGGTTCGATCCCAGGCGAGGTTGGCACAGCTGAGTCCCATACTTGGATGGAACAGCTGTTCAGTGCTCCCAAGTTTTCTTAACTGATATCAGTCCATGGCGAATACCAACCTGAAATCAATAAACAAATCCCCATAAACCTCCAAATTGACTTTTAATGATAAACAGTCGTTGTGCTAAGCTGCCTATAATATCAGTGATTTCATTTTTGTGAATCATGATACGGTATGAGTATACGATTCGGTTGGATATATGCCAAATTCAGAGCAAGAATAAAAGGAAATGCAACCAACATCATTTATTGTCTTCTATTCCAGGTAGGAAGAGCAGGACAGAGTTGTAAGCATATCGTCTTGCTCTTAGTTTATCTGGTAGCTGTCAGATGTAAAGAAAGCGAGGTCAGTGACATTCAGCTACTGAGACGTTTGAAAGTCATCACCAACTGACAGTGTCATAGTTACATTCTATCGTTATCGGTTCCAACAACCTGATGTAAGTATAATCAGTTTATTAGCCGTAATAACGCTGAATTTTACCGCCTTTCTAATGTAAGCAGTCTATGTAACTGGAGAATTTCATAGATCTGACAAAGTATCTATATATACAGGTGAAATATACTACTTGTTTGTTAATTACTAATAGTGATATAATGCTAACTGGTAAAATTAATTTTTTTACCTTAACAAATGCAGCAGACCAGATACCGTCATTTCAATGATCAGCGCTACACTGATATATTGCGTTTCATTGTATTCTGTTGGAGCTGTCCGGACAAGACGACAGTAATGAATGCTAATTGCCAAAATGATGAACTCAGCTGAAAAAAATTGTGGAATGAATCCATAAAACAGAATTATTCATCATCAGACTACATAGTGAAGCATCAACAATAATAGTTCTGTTAGGGGAGAATCACTTTAAATTCCTGTACCTATGTTTCACCTTTTTTTGATGCTCTTCAAGAAGCACCACTTTTCCGAAATAGTCTGGAATTTTCAGTATGCACTACTGAGGCTTTGAATAATCTGTATGCGTGAGTGAGGTATGTTGATTCATCAATGGATTGTAAATGATCCTGTAATCTCCAATTCTTCAAAACTGTTAGTTCAAATACTGTCTCTACTCACCTGGACTAATGATCACCCTAAAATTTTCAAGAAGAGAACTCGGACAGGACCTGCTGCTGGACTTCGAAGCGCAGAATATTATTCACTCATTGATGGACATAAATCAACACTGTAGTTCATCTTCCACTTAAAAGCACATGCAAATCCAACCTGTAAGGGAGACTACTTGACCATCGAGACGCCGAAAAAACCTGTCCAGTCAGTAGACACTATTAAATACCATCAGTAATGTATTGAACGATGTCTGCCTACTAGCCTCCTATTTTACATCCGAAACAAAAATACGTAGCTGCGATATTTTTCTCTTAAGAGAAAGACTTGCATTTTTTAGAAGCGAATCCAACATTTCAGTATACTTACTGATCTCCAAGATCATCTTCGATCATATTCCTTTACAAAACCGCACAGGTTTAAGCTAGTATTGACAGAGATATAAATACCTAATATTGCAACGTCGCTCAAGCTAAAAGTGACTCAACAATAATAGCATTTGAAGATTGCATTAAAGACAGTTTCCAGCTAAAATTGAAACTTCAGCCTTCAAATAATTTGGCTATAAAATGTCAAATCCTTAATACCATAATCTTAAACTGCAAGTTGTTAATATACAATTTGTGTTGTAAAATATTTTTGAAAAAACTGCATATAACATATGTCATTTTTTGTGGTAATTTAAAGTTCCTTGAAGACTAAAGTCAATTTGTATTGGAAAATACACTCTTACATTGAACATTTAGAAAATGATATGTACATATATTCCAACAGTCACTGAGAGCAAACTCTAAAACTACTCGTAGTGCACCGTAATATATCTATTTTAAAATAATTTATCTAATGCGCTGTTGACCTATCTGTTTGATAAGTTAAATGGTCATATCACAACATGGTTACTACATCTCTTTTTCTTTTTTATGTGTCACTCATTAGTAGGTTTTGATTTAACAGTTATCACGTCATACACAGATTGTAAACATCATAAAAATTGGTCCCACTGTGATACAGATTACTGTTAAATCATTCAGTCCTTAGAAGTCGCCAGTTGAACTATTTCCATCATTCATTAGAGACTTGTTTTAAAGTGGACTTCTCGAAGTTCCAGCCAGAATTCATAACCTATAAGGTCAAAGAAGTCAAGAGTAAAGATGAATTCCTGACGATGACAGTATATGATGATATTGCAGGATTGCTAAACGACAGTTTTATTAATTAAATTACTTGGTTCATAACAACTGGTCGGAAGATGAAGTACTCGCTGACAGATCTGACGGACTCTGGCTCAATCCCATGTAGTACTGTGGGTGCGCACTGCTGGGAGTTCCGAAACTAGGATTAAACAGCTGTCCAGTGCTCACTAGCTTCCACTGGTATTCTAATTGAGGTTAGTAGGTGATAAAAACTAATTTGAATTCAGTCAGGCCTTACAAACCACCAATTTAGATGCAAAATGCTTGTGACCGCAGAAAGAGGATAGAATTATCAAAAACACTGACAAATGGTCCCATATAATTTCGATCTTAGAAAATACTGACTACAAATCTCGGTTTTCTGACGGAAACAAGTGAATATATGGAGAGAAAATGTTCATTTACCATGGGTTATGATAAATTTATAGCAGTAAAAAAGGCAAATAAGGTCAGAAGTAAAACGTTTCTGACCTCTTATATACACAGTTTATTGAAATAAGACATTTCGGAATAATGTTCACTGTATTTGCTTATGAACATTTTCTTGTTCGAAAAATGCAGTCAGTTATGCTACCGGGTAGTTGTAAAACATTAACGGTGTAGATACCAACCCAACATGCTGCATACAGATAGAAGTCGTTTTTAATATCGTTGGTAGTCGTTATTTCAATTTTTTTCTATAATTTTACGTTCTGTTCATTTAACCCTGTATTTAGTGGTAAAGTATGCCCATTTATAACTTTCACATTAATTACTTTGTTAGTACACTAAGTCCCAATCTTGCAACTGACTTGTTAACCTAATTACAATATATGACGTTGAATATAACATTGTCAAGAGGCAAAAGCAATAACTACCCTCTTAGGGGGATGATTCTTCTCCCATCTATCTTTCAACAGTTCAATTTTGTGTGTTCTACAGTTATTGTTCGAATCTACTTAGTATGCAACAAACGTGTAAACAGTGAAAATATCTAAAAACTCTGTGGAAAGTTTTAAACATTTAGAAATAATTCTATATCATCACATAAAATCACTTCTAGTTTTTATTAAGGAATAAACAGAGACTTGCCTAATTCAACGACAACATCCCATGACATGGCACGGCATACTTCAAAAGCAACAAAGTCAAATGAATCCTCTGAATGAACAGAAACTCCATACTGTTGACCACCTCCAGTCCCATTGTTCCCATTATTATGCAAATCATTTGAAGTCAAGTAGTCTAATTGACTTCGATTGCCAGGCTTTCTGATCTTGATGTAACCTAGTTGTTTCACACTGACATATGGTGAAGGTTTTGTACTTTTGAATTCCGACTGGTCAATTCTTCCCCATGGACTGGAACTTATATAATCCAAATTTATTGCAGTCCATGCAATCATATATGTGAAGGTTACAATTACAAACAGGCCTAAATACTTCAGAATATCTTTATCTCTTACATGAACACGATGCGCTTTGCGTGACTGGAAACCAGACAACACTCTTAACAACGAAAATAAATAGATAAAAAAGCAAAATCTAAATTAGAAAAAAAACTGTAGAGTTCAGCTGATCTTAGTGAGTGAAAAGAAAAATGTCTCCTTTTATCAAGAAATAAGTCTTGAATTTTGTGTTAATTGTCTTTCCTGAAAATTGAATCTTTATTTCCGATACTTAACACCAAAATGCAATTCACTGAAGTCTGGCATCACTTAGCTTATCGACTATATTACCAACTTGATCTATAAATTTCAGTCAGTGCTAAGCACTAAGAACTAGACAGTTACACTAGTTACCCTTTAGTGACTAAAATCAAGTACATGACCCAATATAAAGTGGAGTTATGCGTATCCTTAATTAAGCACTGAGTGAGGTGGATTTCCATCACCAGGGAGAAAAACTTCGTCATGATTTCAGATTCGCCTTGCTAGGAATTCTTAATGATTGTTTCCCAATATCTGGATGGTTACTATATACTAGAAAAGCCATAGGCTGGGTCAAACAAGGTTTAGGCTCAAAAATATTTTTTTATGATTCACTTATTGTTTCAGTTCGTATTTAAACTTATGAATTTCTCAGATTCGAAACCAGACACTGACTGAGTAAAGTTACAGTGGAAATGGCATTTGGCTCAGGGATGAAACAATAGGCAACACTGACACTTCTGGTTATCCAGTTGTACAATTTCAAAGGAGAATTACGTTTAACTGATCATCTTAGTACTTTCACCTAAATCCAAATGACCCGACTGCTAACTGAAAAACTATTGACTATGGATAAAGTAAGAGGAAGGAATCTGGAAAGCAACTCATGTCACAGGACAACTTGAAATAATGGTTGGTGAACCATATATACTCCGCTTTATAACGCTAACTATGACAGTCGTTTGTTAGACTGCTTTCGATTTCTTTTCAATCCGTCAAGTGTAGGGCGTGTGGACTATGTCAGAGAACTCCAGTTTTTTTCTATATCAGACATAACACACTGACTCTAATATACGTATCGATTATAAGTATCTGAAGAGCCTTAAAACATTGATGAGTCATTAGATAGTACCAAGTGTCATGTATGTTATTTTGGCTTCAGCGATCATAACTACGGTATAATAAACTATTTACATAAGAGGGTGTAATACATCTGCTCAACTGATACAGTGGAAGAGACAATAAAACTCTCTACTGTGAAAAATGAATATTCCTTTGATTTTCCTACTCGATACGAAAATGGATTCCACCTGAAAAAAATGAAGTGCACGACACTCTACTATAGGGTGAAGACCGGAAAGCGTAACTTTAAAGTGGAAGCTTTATTTAGTTATCAAAAAACGCATTACATAACCAAACTTATTGTTCTCGATAAAACAAATCCCACGCTCTAAAATAAACTTCAGTCTTCCACAAATAGTAAAATCACATTCCATTCAGTATACTTATGCAAATATGTGTATCGATAAACATGTGAATAGAGCAGGATTCGAACTATAAAGCCGAGTGTTTCGGAGCATTTCATCGTAAATGGAAGAGAAGGTTACACTAGAATACTCCGATAAATACAGGAAGCAGATAGACATCATCGGCTGGAAAAATATAGTAGACATACTACTAATTGGCATGAGCAGTTAAGACCATTCTTATCGACCAGCAGCACTCGTTAGCTAAGTCAAGGTGATCTGATTTTATGACTGTCGTCCTGCTCAACTGTAGTAGGGCTCGCTAGTAGTGGGCCCAAATCAATTCAGATCAAATAGCTAAATAGTTCAAACAAATCAAATTCCAGTTAGTTACTTGGTTAGATCGCTGGTATATCATTTGCAAATACTTGATTTTATCATTATCTATAGGTAAACAAACTAGCGAAATGGATAGTATGACTCACTCTAAACCAACCTCTGAAACATTACACGGGAGATGTCAGGAGCACACATCTAGTTTTATCAACACCTTAACCATTTAAAAGCCTAAAAGCTTTTCTGTTTTCCAAAGCAGTTCGTCCTCATTTTAAACCTTCCTTTGGTAATCTTCGTAAAATTATAATTACACGGATGATGTGAAGATATATTATTCTTCCTTAGACGTCCTAGTATTTTCACATCTATCAACTAGTTTCAATTATATAATCCCCTTTCCATCTTCACACTTGATTTATCATTTTTTAACAAGTCGATAATGTGATCAAATCCTGTCCCCAGTTGCATTATTTAAATTTATCAAAGAGACTAACTGCTTTTCACGTCAACATTTTTGTCACTCACTACCGTTGACATCTTATGAAACAGTGACTAAAAGACCCAAAAAAACCTAGTTTGATATCGGTCACAATGGCACAGATGCATCCAGTCTTGTCAATCTCAAAGTGTTGAATCGTCTATTGTTCTTTAATTATGTAGTCTATGTCCAACTGTACGTTACTTTTTCTGCTTTGTGAATGTTCCAATTTCAATTTTTTTCCGGTGCTGAAAAATGTAGGAGCTGGTGTACAAATACTTAAGGTTCTAAGTTTCCTACAATTGTTTATCTGGCGACCTTATGCTTATTATCAGCTACTACCAGAAAATTTCTTCAACCTTGAGAGGGCTGTTGCCTATTGAGAAATACAAACCTTTTATAAGTTTATCTACCTGAGATAGCCATGGCTTGGCAGAATTGTATTGACACTAGGTAACGACCGAAGGTGAAATGAACATCTGGGTCGCGGTGGGATTGAAACCAGAGACTATCAGGTTTCCGACCCGGTGCCTTATCAAATGAGCTACGAGATCCAACTGTTAAACAAACTTTTGTTTAGATTTGCTGCTGTCATGTTTGTTGCCCGGGAAGAAAGTTTGATCACAGAGAGTCAAGTGGACTGAGAAATCTTTCTAGACTACAGACAAACACTGGTGACAAGTGTTCAACAGCAAGTAAACTTGACTAGTTAATCATCTGCTGATAGTTCTTAAACACAAAATGTCGAATAGAAACTTTTCTCATATCTAAATATCAATAAATACTCAAACGGTTCTTTCTAAGATAAATGATTGCATTTTTATGAATAAAAATGTAATCTGTCAACAATGAATTCGTTGAATATATTGGTAGATATCAAATTTACATCCATCTATTTATCTGTAAAATATGTCTTATGAAAGCTACTACCGAGAAAAAGTACTATGCAACTCAAAATTAGGAAATAATTAGAATCTGTGGGAAGGATGTCTGTTAATTAACTCAGCAAAAGAATAAAGAAAAATTTTGAAATGAGAATTTCACTTTGGTGTCGGATGAACTCATGTACCACCAAGCAATAAACTGGTTGAGGTAAGTATGGGCCATCCTAACTACATTTTATGTTCTCTCTACAATCCAACCAGTATGGAAGCTAAATTTTAAATGCCTCAGACTGATCAAATTAGGACATGCCATCAGTTCAGGAGGTCACCGTTTGCTAATATGTACAATATATGAAGGCTTAAGCTGGTCAAGTAACACCCGTACAACATCCATATATATATATATATATATATATATATATATATATATATATATATATATATATATATATATATATATCAGATTCACGTGGCTCCTACTTGGCACTAGTAACTTTGAGCTAACTTTTAGTTAGCTATTTAGAATAATGAGGTGATAGACGTTTCAACAGCTTCATGTAACCTCACTTGAGGTTTGGAAGTATTGTGTTATCCATTAACTTCAAACGATGAAATTCACTCAAAACACATCCAAAGTTAATCACTGAAGTCAGCCTGAAGAATAAAACTTAAAACATACAAGTAACTAATGATAGTGCTTGACGTATATTAAAGAAACGAGACGAGATTTGATAACAGCATACACATTTCTGAACAAACGATTCGTCTCTTGTCTGACTCTAGCAGTAGCTTCAACCCAAGAGGCCACACATAGGATTTAAACCTGACTCATAGCGGGTTACATTTCGATGTAGGTCTATAAGCGTTTTCTCTGCAGGGGTGGTTTAGATGTCTTCACTAGAATCCTCTAAATCTTGACTTGATCCCTACCTGCAAAGTGACAGCGAGCTGAATCATAACTAACTTGCCTTTCCTACTAGGTCGTAATCGTTTTTTTCTCCTTAGCATTTTGTACACGGCTCAACAACCAGAAGTACTTGTGGTCCACTCTCTTTAGAAACGGAAACTAGCTAAACAAAACCTTCTGCTACTGCTTCACCAGTCATTTAAACCATTTGAATAAGGATTTTTGGTGGTTGATGATTAGGTTCTTTCACATACTTACGGTTTTAACTGTTGATTTGTCAAACGTTCATGGTGAATGGTTTTCACATCACTCAGAGTCAGCGATGACTACTGTCTATCGAATCATCATTTTATAACCAGGTTAAACCTTTTATCGATGCGAATATTCGACACTTACCTGTATCCAAACTGAGAAACTAAAACTTCAACACAAACATGTTGATTTTCTAAAACAGTCAAAAGCTGATATGTTTAAAAAACAACCGTAAAGGTTCGTTAGCTTGAAAATAGTTATAAAGTCACGACTGAAGATACGAAAGTTTCCCCATTTTAGTCGAAATAATTTTGTTGCAAACTGAAATCTTTTCAACAAACACTGAGGACCAAGTAATAAGGAAAAGCTTCTCTCTTTTATATGACTCAAAAGCTATAGTGTATCAACTTATCAGATGGAACGTTTTAGTGTAAGGTCCTTCAAGGAGATAATTATAGGCTCTTTATTAGTGGCACTTGGAAAGAGGGAAGTTAGTGACATCATGGAAGAAACTCGCAGCCCCTTGAGTAGTTTATTTCAAAAAGTAAGGATAAGTATTCCAATTTCTAGTAAAAATATATGCCAGACCCCTGAATAAAACCAGTTTCAAATTAAAACCGAGTCATGTCCATACAGTCAACGCAGTTTTCCTTCATAATACCCATGAAGAACGACTAAAATATATCCATTTAATAAAATTGTTCCATATACTTTCAAACATTACTACTAACCTGTATATTTTCACAATTAATACTCCATACATAACAGAGAAGCCAACTTCACGAAACCACGGGAGAATAAGGCATGAAACATCACTAACTGGAAAGTACATGACGACAATCTATGCAAACATAAAGTAAACAACAATCAGCTATATTCTCAATTTAAAATTATTCTTTACATTATGAATGAAATATATTTTGTAAAATCCCAATGAAGTAGAAAAATAATTTTCTGACGTTTCGTGACTTCGTGGAAATCGCTTCTTCAGAGAATAAAACCTGTACTTCATTTGGATTTTACAAAATATATTTTATTTATAATCCAATTACCCAATGCTCAACTTATTCAACTCCATCAGGTCAAATTTCGATACTGAAGTTTACAAAATTATTCTTTACATGTTTTACACTAGACCGTTTTAAAGTTATTATTTGTGGTACATGTAAAAGAAATGTAAAATTGGACCAGTGTTTAAAATCAAAGTTTATTCACTAATTATGTTGATCATTTCCTGCATAAATAATACTGTATGTGACAACATAATCTGCAATCAATAATATAAATAATCTGCCAAGCTTCCAAAATGGTAAGTCTTTAATTCTTCTGGGAACCCATTTGGTGTTCTGTGAGGATTGATTGATTCCAAAACAGTATTCATCGCAGACTGACATCAACGGAAAGCAATGAATTCCTACTGACTACCAGGTGAATTATTACTTGTCCACTTCAGTGACATGAGTCCGGATACGTTTCCTGAAATTATGATGAGAATTTGTGGAGTTACTTAAGTTGGATATGCTGATAAATACCATCCGATGATATTAGTTGGTGATTGTGCTACATCATGAAATAAAAGACTTAGGAAATGGTGAACCTTTGAGTTGAAACTCATTGACTGGACGGTTACATGCTCATCTCAAGATCTGACGGCCCTGGAATCGGTCTCTGACGGGATATCAAGTACGTTCATCTGGGTAGTCCCATGCTAGTAAGAAACATCTGTTCCGTACAAGAAGGTTTCTAACCGATGCCAGTGAATGATGAATACCACCTTGAAACCTTCCACGAATATCAACATTTCCGTGCGTATAGCTTCATTTTGTACAAGTTTGTTGACTAGCATTCCAACAGGAAGACTTTATGTTTCACTAATATAACAGGGGGAATTTAAGCACTGTGGTTAAATACAATTCCATATTAAATAAGTTTACCTGATATAGCATATAGTGAAGCAGTATTGTTTATAAGATGATTTTGCAGGCACTATTTATTGTTCATAATCATATCATATCACTTCAGTGAGACGATGAGAAATCAGCTGTACTCGAAGTTTTGTTCAGTAAATAATACTGCTTCCTTGTATGTTACCTTAAATAAAAACTATGTAATATGGAATCGATAATTTCCCAGAATATTTATAACTGGTGCAGTAAAATATGTCATAAGATGATTACGATAGGCCATAGTATTACAAAATAATGATCACTAGTCGGTGACCGACATCATGCCTCAGTCTTTACCACCGTCTGAGAGGTATTAAACAAAGCCACTGAAATTCACACAACACCATTCAATTTAACACTCCATATTAGAACATCCAAAGACGTGTTACAACCTATAGTGACGTATCACGTGTTTTATACGCCAAGTATTGTCCACCAGCATTATCTACTCTCGATTTCTACTTATTTTTGTCATGGATGCACTTATGGAAGTTTCCCTTTCGTTGTCTGATTTTACGTTGAGTGATCTTACAGGACATTGCCTATCAGACCACGAGTATATACATGGCAGTCCTGTTGGGTGACGATATTGACAAGACAGTTTCCTGGATATCTTCAGAGGTATGTTAAGAATGACTGAAATACACTTCTCCTAGGCAAAATGCAAATCGTTCCCCAAGGGCTGATTTGAATTGACACATCTTTCAACAACAGAGAGTGAAGTCGTTGAGAGCACTGATCATTTCACTTACTTCAGATGTTAGATCGGTCTAAGTGAGTCACTGATCTACACGGATGCAGAAAGTTCGATTTGTTTTTGCCAACTAACACAATCGTAGCACTTGTTTGGTATCCGAACATCTATTAAGGTTCGGATGAACCGTCAGTCAGTTTGCTCTCTTCTGTTGCATGGCTATGAAAGATGGGGGCATGAAAGAGTTTCAGGCATTCAACCATAGTTGCCTTTGTAACATAGATCTTGTGTCACGATATCACCAAGTTAATAATATGGAAATCAGGTGTAGAGTTGTAGTCAGATATAAGTCGATTGATAAGGTTGTCCACTTTAATCTACTCAGATGGCTGAAATATGTATTAATCTTGCCTAGTCACCATCTGTGCCATCCCGCAATGCTAGCTGAAGGGATCTAGCAGAAAGTCACAAAATGGTTGAAAAATGGCATCAGTACCAAAGTGTCTTATTGGCAGTGTGAACAGTGTAAGGGAATGTAGACTTCGAGGTTACGGTCTACATGACAGCAGAAGATGGTGGTAACAGACTGTTGGTGGTATGACTCAAACTTGATCGCAACAGTACACATGCATCTACATATTAAATCCATCCTGACTGTTATATTCTATTTCATTATTTGTTTGACCCTCTCCTTCTCTCTTTGTAAGAATTTCGACTACTTTTATGACATTTTTCATCCCTATTTCTCCCCATTTCAACCTGCTACTCTGCAGCTTGATTTGTTCATACGAGGTCTGGTGGCTTTGACCGTTACGCATTAAGGATGGGTCTCATATTGAAACTGATCGACCAAGCATAAACAAAACAACATAGCACGTTAATTTAATATACCTTTTTTCGATGCAATAGGTAAATAAATCAGAGACAAATTTTCGTTATTACTTTTGGCACAGTAAATCTTCATCTATGAAGGCATTTTTCCCCTCTAAATTCGTAATCTCTGCTGGCTAGTACCGAACTTGCCACACTAACTATTTCAGTTTGTAATAAATCCCTAAATCAAAGGGTGCACAGGGACATATTTTAAGTACACGGTTCTATTGTCATGGTGAAAATAAATTTCTTCGAGATTGTGAAACCAGCCCCTTACTTCTGAAATCGAACAGTCACTAAGTATGGGTCAGCTGCCTTCTGACAGCTATCAGAAAAGGGTCAACATCCAGAAACGATACTGGTCGTGTTTGTTCATTTTGAAGGGCCACAATCAGCGTTTATACATGTTTTCATTTGAAATGGCTTATAGATTTCTCATAATTATATTACCGCTGTCTCACATATACTTCAGATATTGAAACTGTTTCCTGACTCCTTGATAATAGTTTCAGGATATTATTATGATTAATTCGCTCAACCCAAGTAATGGCAAAAACTTGCAAATTCATGAGATTATGTAACATCAGATTCACTAATAGACATGAAAAGCTCAAACTCACTGTTGAATATAGGAGAATCGCTCCTACAAGCATTATTTCCATTAGTACTAAGTTAGCGCTTTTAACCACCTAAAATACAACATACAGATTAAATGAGTCACGTGAGAAACTTTTATCTAAGCAATTATTCTACTTACAAGTAATAAGTAGACAAAGGCCAATAAAAGAATGTTTAGCTTGGATGTCGATGTTATCTTTTGTAATAAAAAGTGTAGGGATAAACAGAGACCAGCTGGATTTAGGAAAGACATTTCCATCTACAAACATATATTTTCAGCTGAAACAGCCGCATTGTTAATATCACCCTTAATCGTAGTGGAAGCTCATAAATGGGTGACATATCTGATTTCTCATGACTGACTTAAAAACTTTCCAAGTACTTTATATTTCACAATTATATTGCCTTTAATGAACACTAATACTTGGTCGTAAGGATAATTAAAACAAAAGTTCAATTAGCCACCAATAATATCCCTATTTAAAGTTGTCAGTGGCTGAAGACAACCATAATAATGAACAGTAGGAGTATTAATCAAAAAGATTTTTTTTCTGCTTTTTTCAGCCTTTGAAGAAATGAGGTGAATTCTCAAAAAAAAGAGAGAGATAGAATTCAATGTTTAGCATTCGTAATCAAGAACATTATTAATGTTTGCTGCAGATAAAATCTGTTCTCATGAATGTGTCTGAGTGCATAGATAATCTTTGTGTTCATGAGTGTTGAAAATGGATCAATCAACCTTTTGTTATCACCTATTATCAAATAAGACACTCAGTGATACATTCAGAGGGGTATCGCTTCTCTTGAGGTTTTGCACAAGCCTTGCTGACAGGTTTCAAAAGCATAAGATCTTTATCTAAGGCTTTGCACTGATCGCCTTCAGCTAACTTACATTGTTGTGCTATATTTAAAAACTGATCGGGAAATATCACGCTTCAGCAAAATAGGAAATTTTGACATCAATTGTGAGCTTTTATGCTGTTCAGAAACCCACAGTAATATTTTTAAGGATAAATAAACAATTAATCAGTAAATTAAAACAAAGCTGACCACCTACTCGAGCTCTTCGCATTTTAAACATTGCTATACCACATAGTAGACAAATGGTAATACAAAAACTTTGAAAAGCTAAGGGAACAGCTCGAATTAAATTGTAGTCAATTTGTGCACTGCAAAGTCGGTTTGATTTACACTCCAAACAACCAGCTGGACATGCACGACAATAAAATCTTGGCAGATCTGATTCATCATTGGCCAAAGCTGCTTGAATTTTAGATTCAATTAGTGGAGCGGGATAACCCTGAAATAATTATTGTTGAAACAATAGTAAAAATAAAGATGGAATAGTTATCATTTAACGTGAAGCTGTAAACAAATGAGGTTTTTTAAATTAAAATTTATACTGGGTAATGACTGAAAGTGAAACGAAAATCTGGACCTCAGCCGGATTCAAACCATCGGCCACCAGGTTTTCAGCCCGGTGGTCCACCAACTGGGCTACGAAGTCAGGAGCATCTGGTAGGAAACCCTATCATTAGTGGTTCAAATCCGGCCGCTTTCCAAATTTTCATTCCACCTTCAATCATCACCCAGTGCAAATACTAATCTGCTAAACGATGTCCATCTCAGATAGTCAAAATAATAAAACTAAAATGTTGTTCATTACTACTGAATCTCAAAATGTTCTTATGTGCATCACTTAAATTTTGTTAAAAATGTTTAATTTGATCTCCTTGTCACAATGATTGCACTGACTACAGGATATAAGATCTTCTCTGCAAATGATGAACTTATGAATCAGTAGAACTACTATTATACGGGTAAGAATAATTCCACGTAAAAAAAACAAATGATCGGTCATTTTGAATAATACGCCCAGACTACTGTGCTCCAGAGGAAGATGCAGAAACAGAAGATTCATGACATTTTTGCCAAAATTTAACAGAGGTACAATCATTCCAAAGTTATTTTGCATGTCGGATAGCATCCGGACTTAGTGAGAAGAAAAACTGTCTTTTTTCACAAAAGTCAGAATGTAACTGACTGCTACAAGGTCCAGTAGAGTAGAATAACAGTAGTGAAACACCCAACCTGCAATGTCAGCGATAAACTAACAGTCTATGTCTTACACCACAATAATGACTAATGAAACGCTTTTCTTTCCATCATTATACAAACTTATTAGTTGTTTTATTGCAGCATCTAACTTCTCCCTAAATATTATGAGTTCAATTCAAACATTCTACCTTCTAATACAAATTCTTGATATACTTGTGAAAAAAACCACAGTACTGCTTTGAAGGTCATACCAGTTACATGTCTGATCGACCGACAGTAGCTAAATGATAGTATTCCACATCTTTCTAACCCACTCTAACTCATCATTGACAGATGGATGTTATCCACAATGGAAATAATCTTGTAGTTGATCGCTACATAAAAAATACATCATCCACCATCTCAGTGTACTTTATCAACTCCTTCTTTCTCCGTGCAACTATCTATTCCATCACCCTAGCATTTACTTATCTTTTCCTATCTATTTGTTCGTTGTATATTACTGTAAAGTGTGACAGCTTGAACAGATGTACTTGTGTGTGAGTACGTAAGTTGACTTTTCTGCCTATTTGTCTATATTTGCTAATCTGACACACCAAACAGCTTTGTATCACTCCAAATCCTAGTGTGACATGATATTTAGATATAAAATAAACTCATGTCATTCTTGTCATCAATAAAAATGTGTTTTTTTCACCAAATAAACACCTAATTCTTAATAGTGCTTGTCTTGTTTCTAGCCCAGCATAAAATCGACAACTATTCAGTGCTGATATTAGGGTTGTATTATATATGGTCATGCGTCTTATTAGCTTTGGTATCTTCAGCTGAGTAAGCCTTACTGTATTCCTATCCCTGAAAGCATGAAACATAAAGCAGTTGACCAGAACATTAAAACTATATCATGCACAATATCTGAATTAGCTCTGAGTAGTGAAATAATGCTGAATTGTGAGCATTGGATGTCCTTAATAAAGTGAATTCTATTCAATCAACATCATATCTACGATGAAGCACCCACAACCTATGAAACTATCTACTAGCAGTATGTAGGAATGAGGTATCATGACTGTGATAGAGATATCGATCAACAAGTGTGATGAACCAGAATTTTCAGTTGGCAATGTGTTTTTGCATCGTTACGTGTTTTCTACTTTATGTCCCACGTTTATTTTACTTGACAATGCGCTTATGGTCCAAACGAAAGTCAAAACGTTTTTCTGCTAAATCACACTACTATCTATTTGTAAGTAGTAATATTAAGTATAAGGAAATATCCTGAAACTAGTTCACCTGATAAATTTTTGCAAAGCATGAAAGACAAATATGTTGAGATTAGTTGAATTCACTTCATGTGCTTCAGATCTTTCGCATACTCATTAAATTTAAAATTATGTACAAGCAAAGATCACATGGTTTCCTTTGATGTTGAATTATTATTCACGAATATGCCACTTCAAGAAACAACTGACAAAGTAGGTAGTCATCCTGACATGATAGTCTTCCAGTCAAATTTATTGACGTTAGGCATAAAAAGGCGTGCGATTCCAGTTTATTGGTTAGTGCGACAGACAAAGAGACAGACAGAAGGTGTGGCTTCGGTCGATCCCCTTGGTCCCATATTCGCAGACAGATTCCTAAGCCAACTAAGAGAATACGAAATTAAGTCATGCGAACAAACAGACCAAATTAAATTTCAGATATATGGATGATAATTTCATCTTATGTGAGAGTGAAGCCCATGCAAGAATCCGACTCAAATCCTTCAGTTCACTTGGTTTAGATGTGAAACTTACAAGTAAACACAGAGCGTTAGATAGAATAAAGTACTTTGATTTAAGTATCAAAAGAAATTAAGACAGTTCAATACTGCACAGAATTTTTTGACAGATTGAGTGAACCAGTCAATATTTGTCATTTAAAAGTTTTTAGCCCGTCGCTTATAAAAAAATTAAGTTAAGACTTTATTTTTAAGAGCAACCAGACTATGTTCCAAGGAAATCATAGTAAATGAATTGGATAACATGCGAAAAACTGTTAAATAGATATCCCATAAAGTTCTCCATTAATACTTTAAACTTAAAAATGAGAAGCTGAATGATACAACCGCGTCAAAAAGGAACATGTTCATTAGACCACTATTTAAAGGCGATGAACTGGATTCACAAAATAATCACACTAACCAATCCAGCTGCGAAATTAGCAGTTGTCTATGACACGAAGAACATGATCAATGTAATCAATAGACGAAGAAATAGTAGACTGCTACATTGTTCAATAGTGGCAGAAATCCGTCGACTGAAACCAGATTTATGTGTACAAAAGGAGTTCGTGGTTCACCTTCCATTGTCTTGATGAGTTGTTCTTTTCCTACAGCTTTGTTTACTATTTTATTCTTTCATCTTATTGTCTTACATATTATTTTCAAACATTCATATTCCCATCATTTTTGATTTATTATATATTATATTTTACATCATATTTTAACTTTAATTTTTAGCATATCCTTTCCCATTCCTCTACCGTTAATTCATACACTTTGTACACCATCTCTATTCTTCTCCCCCTTCTATCAAAATTCCTACCACCTTGAACTGTAATCATTTACTTGCACTACTATTACATCATATTTTTGTCTTAGTGTTTACCGATCGATTTTATAGTCCGATGTGTTATTTTATTTAGGTCATAAACTTTGTAATTCATCTCTGTTCTTGTATGTATGTATTGATGTCTAGGTGTGGATGATGTAATTGTTGATTTCACTATCGACATGTATCAAATGAATTATGCTGGACACTGACAGCTTACTGTAGTACACAGTTTAAAATTTAGTGGAATATTGAGGGCACATGAAGTGAATTCGATTCATCCCACAATGTTTGTTGTTCGTGCTTTACAAGGAAATACATTGGTAAACTTCACATACAGGTTTTATTCTCTGAGTAAGCCGCCCCCACATGAAACTAATTTTTCCACTTCACTGGGATGTAGCAGATTTATATTTCTATTACAAACCACTTATGAATTCTTTAACTCTATCAGGTTAATTTTTGATCCTAAAGTCTACGAAATATTATAAAATATGAAATGTTGACGTAAACTGGATGCCCAAATAATAAACCCTTAAGCAGTACATCAGTATCCTAAACTACAGAGTTGTGTCTGTTAATATATATATGGTGACTACTAGTTGACAAAATACTAACTTCCTAGCTAGAGAACATGGAAGTGGATCCCTCATGTACATTGAAGTAATGTTGTGTAACCAACAAATGGGTATTCATGTGGACTTGTTTGCTGCTAGTCGAAAAAAGTCACTGTGACATCTATTGAGGACAGAAACTTCTGTGAAGCAATTTGTTAAGTACGCGGCTATCTGCTACCTATCCACTTCACCTTAGCGATGACTACACAGCATACTCTGATCGTTAGGTATCAGGGATAACAGTAGGGTCAGGAAAATGATATGAAAAAAACGGAAAACAGTACCTTCATTTCAAAATGCAAATACAGAATATTGTAACATTTCCTTGTGAAATCAAACTTTGATAAAGCGAACCTCAGTTTTTGAGTAGGAGTCAAATCACTTTATATTTATTTGATTATGAGTAATAAACTACACTCGAAACGTCATTCAAGTAAATAGCGGTATTTAACAGTATTTTCCACCCAGTAGACCTATTTAATGAGGAATTATACTCCATCCCAGCGCTTAAATTCCATTACATTATTAGCTGAACGTAATTCACAGTCATTACCAAGTCTGCGATTAGGAAATATTTCTTTATCGACAGGTACTAGTCGACATCAGCCAGTGCCACTTTAAAAAAAGGTTCTTAGTGAGCTTCCCGAATCAAGCTGACAAAGACTCTTCGATGATGGGTGTAGACGGTGGAAAGGCTTAAATCAAGGGTTTCCTTTCGATGATATATAAACATTGAGCATAGTCCATGCCAAAATGAAGCCACTTAACCTACTGATGACAGTGAAAATTTTGTAGATAGATCAAAACTATAGACTTATTACGTTATTTATTTTTAGCACGCTATGGCCATGGCGTAATGTAACTGCAGTCGTCACAACCCACTAATTAACGTGATCTTTCATTATTTACTCAAGAAGTCTTGAGGTATCAAGAGATTTTAACCCAACAAAACTATCCTTTATCCTACACTGATTGATACTGGAGGTTAAATACCTTGACTTTAAGCAGCCGAGTCTGATTTAATCGTCATTTGT